TCAAAGAAACTTTTCTTTACAGCAAATGGGAACCATCACAGAAAACCACCCCCGGACACAGTGCAAAGATCAACAGAAATCAAACCAAATCATTTATGTTGAATTATGTTCTATTTCAGAGATGTTTTATTAATTTCAGAAAGTTATAATTACACTTCTAGGGGTAAAAAAAAAACAACTAGCCTTGATACCAAATTCCTTGCAAGGTGTTTCTAGAGGCCAGTGATGTGGGATAGCAACTGGCTGTGGTTGTTAGCCTCTAATATGCTGGAGCTGGGATGGGAAGATGAAAGGAAGCCAGTTAGTCCCTGCAAACCGCTCTTCCAGAGCAAGCATGCCTATCTGCTGCTTCCATCACCCACAGACATCAGCCTGCCTTCTTCAGGCTTTCACTACCCACCAGAAACTCTCCATCGAGCTGCCAAGCCTTAGCCTAGACTGGCTTCCCAAGTTCAGAGGTCTCTCAGTCTGAGGAGCTGTCAGGTTCTCCAACTCTCCAGCATGCAGAGAGTCTTTGGTCAACTAGTCAATCTCTAATCCTGCAAGTCAGCCTTTAAAAAGAAATCTCTTTTTATAATTTTATGCTGAGTTTATTCTCAAGCCCTTATCCAGTGAAGCAGGTATAGTGCTGTAAGATATTTTGTGTTCTAACAAGTAAAGCTTGCCTGGAGATCAGAGGGCAGAGCTAGCCACTAGTTAACCATAGAGGCCAGGCAGTGGTGGCTCACACCTTTGATTCTAGCACTTGGGAGGATCATGACTTTGATCTCAGCTCTAGGGAGGTGAAGACAGGAATATGAGGTGGGTGGAGACAGGAAGTCCATTCAGTCTGAGGATTTATAGAGACAGGATGCCCTATTTGGTCTGAGATTTCATAGAGGCAAGAAGTTTCTGGTGGCTGATGCTCTACATTTCTGATCTTTCAGCTTTCACCCTAATATCTGACTCCAGGTTTTTATTGTTAAGACTAATTAGGATCACGTTTCAGTATAGTGGTCAGATTTTAGGAGACCTTAGTCCGTTTCTAAGACTTACTAAACTGTCTTCTCCTACTCTCAGCTTGACTTACAGTAAGTAAAGCTTGAATATATACTGGAAAATAAAAGCAAATTTTAAAATTGTCAAAACATCTGAAATGTTCAAGTTATTGGAATGAACTTCTTAGCAATCATCTAATGGAGCCAATGGACAAAGGTATAAGGGGAGCTGAAGATACACAGACAGGACAATGGACTAAGGAGTGAGGACCCTCCCCCCAAACACTTGAAAAAACACAGCTAATAGAGACAGACAGTGACACAGGATGTGGGGTTTGAATAAAACACACCCCATAGGTTATATGTTCCAGTATCTGGACAATATTTGCATAAACAAGACCATAACAATGGAAATATCAACAGGCATGTTCATGGACCTATTTAGGAAGTATTAGGAGGTGTGGTTTTGTTAGAGGAGTTATGCCATGGGGCAGAAGAGAATTTTGAGATTTCAAAAGATTCCCACTATTCCCAGTGCTGTCTTTCAAGCTTCCTGCTAAGTTTTGTTACAGGGCAGGAGACGGTTTTGAGGTTTCAAAGCCTCACACCATTCCCAGCACTTTCTTCCCGCCTGCCTCCTGCTTGCAGTCGAGATGCGAACTTTCAGCCGTTCCTACCACCGCGCCTTTCTATGCCATCATGATTCTAACTCCCTGAAACTGTAAACCCAACTAAAAGCTTTCTTTTATAAGTTATCTTCGTCATGGTGTTTTACCACAACAATAAAGAAGAAACTAAGGCAGGAGGTATTTGTTCAACATATATGAGAGAGAATGATAGTGAGAAGGTAGCAAGAGAGGATGAGAAAGAGAGAAAGACGGACATTCATCTCCATAGTCTTTCTACTCAATGCCACCTCTATCTACAGGTAGCACCAGAGTTCATGTTCCAAACTTGATAGGATGATTGGAGAAAATTAAAAAGTTGAGAACTCTGAATTGGGCCAGAGGAAGTTGAGGTGACTGAGCTGCTTAAGCCCAGCATCCTTGACAGGAGAAGAGTGATACAATGGCCTGGTCAGAAGAAAGGACAATGTGGCTTTGTAATGTCTGACTAGATTTTAGTGATAATGTAACAGGTGGCCCTTTCTGTTTTCTTTCCCTGTCGCCTGGTCTTGCTTAGTAGGCTGGGGCAAGGGACAGAGATTCTACCATATAGAGTGTCAGGTCCAAATCAAACTGCAATCACAGGGAGCTAAAAAAAAGCAAATACTGTTTTTTTCTTCTTAATATTATTAGATAAATGACAAAATACTACCAGGATTACAATAACAATATAGTCTTCTTTGAAAGGTCTTTCATTTTATGTAATTTGCCATGGTGACAAAACAAATTCTGCATACCATCAGATAAATGGCTTTTTCAAGAGAAGCTCAGCCGGGCGGTGGTGGCGCACGCCTTTAATCCCAGCACTCGGGAGGCAGAGCCAGGCGGATCTCTGTGAGTTCGAGGCCAGCCTGGGCTACCAAGTGAGTTCCAGAGAGGCGCAAAGCTACACAGAGAAACCCTGTCTCGAAAAACCAAAAAAAAAAAAGAGAAGCTCAAGGTTTGTAGATTACTTAAAGGTTTCTTTTGGTTACTTCATCTCTCTAGATCTGTAAACCAACATGTCAGAAACTCTAAAGAAAGATTTACCAGTAAGTGAAAATATTAACCATGTGAAATATAAGTGAATATATGGAGGATGTGTCCTCTTTGGTTAACTTATACAAGTAATTTATAGAACAGTCTCCCACAGGATCCTTCTTCCAGCACATCTCCCATCTCTTGAACTAAGTCAAATGGCATTTTCCCAGGTAACACATACTGTGTTTTCCTGAGATGAAAACAGTGGACAATTATATCAGTGTCAGCAAAATTTGATCCATGAACTACATACAAGTTGTCCATAAAGAGAAAACAAAAGAATAAAATAAGGTTTTAATCAAACAGTATCTGTCTAGTGTTCTGTACCTCTATATCTTATTAAACTAATAAATTCCAGTCAGCTCAAAAACTGTTTCAAGGCTTTGTGCAGCTTTCTTATTCAACTGTTTGTGGGTACAGTTCATAATACTCATCCATGGCAGGTTATTTAGACTTTTGTTGTCAGTTGTGATAAGTGTTTAAAGTAAAGAATCCATTGCCATTGACTTCTATCCTCAAAAGTGGAAGAAGTCCATAGCTTTGCTTGAGTGGAAACGAAGAAATTAACAGAGAACGACTTGAGAGAATGACTGCCTCTCTTGAAAGACAGGTGAAGGTTCAGTGACCTCTGGGCACACTGGTCTATTCTGGTGAATCACTGCTGTGGGAAGGTGAAAGACCCCATGGCTCATAAAACTTGATGATATTAAGAAGAAGGAAAAGGAATTCACACTTAAGTTGTCAGGGTCACTGTAAGAAATACAGCTTGGAAAATTCAAGTATAAGAAGAAATACTGTATTTAAGAGTGAATTGCTAATGTCTCTTTTCTTCTAAAAGTAATGTGGGAAACCCATATCACACAGATGTTCATTACTTATTCAATGTGTGCCAACAGGAGATAAATACAACTCTTAGAATACGAAATACCAAGGGTAATTCAACCACTGAAGTGTAAGTGTAGCATAACTGATTCGTCATGACACACAATTTTCTAAAAGCTATTCTGTTAGAAGGCAATACATGAGTGCATAAATGATTTATACTCTTGTGAACCATAGTTATTATTCAGTATTTTATTTTTGAAAATATATGTACTCTATACTATTATGTTTATTCCCAAGAGTATAATAAAAACATAATTGAATTTGATGAAAAATAGACTTGATTCTAAATGTAGTAAGCAGCACATGCAGCTACTCCCTTCTATCCCTAGTGAAGATCAATGGTCACTTGAGGCTGTAGGGTCATTTTTAATATATGGGCAATAGAAGATTTTTAATGTAAGAACTGTATTCTATAATATGCTTCCTTGTAAAATCAACATCAAATTTCAATCTAAACAATAATTTATGAATTTCAAAAGTTTAATAATTATTATACTCTTCAATATGATTTTTATTGATCAGGTGAGAAAAGGAAACTAAATAGAGAGCAATTTGGGAAATAATGAAGCAATATGTAACAAAACCATCACTCAGTGTCTTGTTTGTTTTGATGGGGACAAAGCAATTACTATGGGAGAAGTTTATATTTTAAAAATCATTTCTATTAAAAATATAAGTAGCTCTGTAATGTACATAAATGACTTGTTGATCTATTTTATTTAATGTTCTTTTCATTTCTTAGGTTAGAAACTCTATCATATAATACATAACACAAATGTTACACAAACCAATTATACTAAAATCTTATTCAGTTATTTTATATTAAATACCTATACTTAACTGTATGACTATGTCATACGAGTGTTACATTTAGCATATGTAAGGACAAAACTAAACTAAAAATAAAAAGTTTAACTTACCCTATTGAAATTAAAAGAAATATTTCCCTCCTCTCCTTTTTCTTAAAGCATTGGTCATAAAAACTCAATTAAAATATTCTTACCTTGTTTTGTATCAGGGTCTCACTAGACTTGCCTCTCCATCCATCATAGTGTGATTACAGGTATGTATATCCCTTGCTCTAAAATAATTCCGTTTTGGGGCTTTGTTTATAGCACTTATGATGAGACACCTTCATTTTATTTTGATTCTTTAGTCTCAAATTAAGGTTTTGCATTTATCATATAAGCAAGAATGCTAATTTCTAAGTGTATTAATGAAAATCTGGAGCTGAGCATGGTGGCTCAAGCCTTTAATCCCAGCACTTGGTAGATGGAGGCAGGCAGGTCTCTGAGTTCAAGACTAGCCTCAAAATAAGTAATCAATGTCTTTTAAGAAGTTAATGGTAAGGAAAACATATGATAATAGAAGAGATAATCCTGAATCCAAAGAAGATAATTTTTATGTAAATAAGAGATGGAGACAATTGAGTTTAAACAGTAGCAATAGTTACCTTGTGGCATTTTTTCCCATCTGTTCACCAATGTCACTGAAGATCTGCTTAAATTCTAAATCTCCAGGAAATGAGTTTAATAGACATTGTAGGTCAAATGAATTACATGAATATTCATTTAATCCATCCATTCTGTGAAACAATAAAAACAAGCAAGTTATCACAAACTGAGGGACAGGGGGTGGACATAGCCCACTCCAAGTTCTGATACTCGGCCCAAACCAGTAATTTCCATTTGCAGACAATGAGTTTGAAAACCAGGGCATTATAAAGCTTGTTAAATTTTGTTATTTAAGTGTCACAATTTTCAAACTCTTCTGTGGCTTAAAAGCTGAAAGGTGCCAGAGAGCCCCAGCACCGTGATGCTCTTCTCACCCTAAAAGCTGCAGAACAAACTACAGCCTTGGGAGACATCTTGGGGAGTCGCCCAGGCACCACTGAGCACACTGCCCTTGGAACCACAGACCCCGGAGTTTCACCCGAATTCTCAGAGGCTCTAGCACTGTGGGCTTATTTCTATGTGGAAAAAAAAAATGTAATTTTCTGGGAGCTATCCCGTGTCCCCTTGACAACAATCATATTATTATTCCTTAAGACACACACAGAGGAACTCAGAGACTGTGGCAGCATGCACTGGGACTGCACAGGTCTACGTCAATGGGATCCCATCACCGAAAGGAGAAGGGGACAGAAACCCCCATCCTTAGCCTAGAAGCTACCGTCAATTGATCCCCTATCAAAGGGAAAAATAGTTTTCTCCAACAAAGTCTCATTAGGTGCTGTGGGATGTCTTTCTGTATGCCGTGAATATGTGCTGCTCTGATTGGTTGATAAATAAAGCTGCATTGGCCTATGGCAAGAAAGCTTACAGCCAGGCAGGAAATCTAAGCAGAGATAGAGAGGGAAGGGCAGAGCGGTGAAGATGCTAGCCTGCCTCTGAAGGAACACACGCCAGCAAACCAGTAATGGCACCGCCACATGGCAATATATAGATTAAAAGGGATGGGTTGAGTAAGTTGAAAGAGCTAGCTAATACAAGCTGACCTATAGGCCATACAGTTGTAAGTAATTTAAGCCTCTGAGTGATGATTTAATAAGCTGTTGTGGGACCATTGGGCCAGGTCGGACCCAAGAAACTTCTGGTTACAATTAAGTGTACATACCAGACTTAAGGGAGGTCCCATGTCCAACAGTAAAAGGTCAACACACAACAAACTAAATGGTATTTTTGGAGATTTTTGGCTCATAATGCATTGTTGGGGCATTTTTTTTTAAACCTTGCATATCTTTTTGTTTATATATTGTGGTTTCTGGTTTTGTGTTTTTATGGAATTTATGTGTGTAAATGTGGGTATCTCTGCATCTGTATGTGTTTCTCATGCTTTTTCTTTGGCTCTTTTGTTTGTTTGTTTTGTTCTATTCTTGTTTGTTTTTATTTTATTTTATCTTATTTTTAATTTATTTAGATTCATGCTTGTTTTCTAATGAGAGACAAATAAAGAGTGGATTTGGATGTGTGGGGAGGTGAAGAGTATGTGGGAGGAGCTGGGTGAGAGGAAACTATAATCAGAATATATTGTGTAGAAAAAATCCATTTTCAATAAAAAAGGCACATGCATTTTCTCACTACCAACGTTTTAACCATTCATTCATTCTATATATAGATTCATCAAATGTTTGATAGGTTATGTAGTATGATAGGGCTTAAAATGTAGCTATAATATGTTAATGTCCTTGCCTTTAAGGAATTACTATTTTAGCAAGAAAAATAATTATAATTTTAAAACATAAAGACATAATATTACAAGAAGTACTATAAGTCAAGTGAAGATTAGGAATGAATTAGGTTAAAAGTCAGAGTTGGGATAAGGTGTGAACTATTTTAACTAGGATTATCAATGCAGATTTATAAAGAAGTGGCCCATGTCTAGAAGAAAAATTGAAAAAGCTGTTGAAGAAGCAAGAGGAAAGAACAACAAAAAAATGGTTTCTTGATTACTTTGCTTAAAAAAATTATAAAACCACATCTGCTCAGATTTCTCTGATGAGAACTAGTCACATGGCCCAATTTGGAAGCAGATGTGGCTAAGAAATGCTGTCATTTGGCTGTGGAGCTAATTCCAGGAAACTGCTTGCTATGGGTGGTGCTATGGTGTAGATCTTAAATGTCATTCCCTAAGCACACATGTGCTAAAGACTTAGTTGTCAGACTAGTAATGTTGGAAGGTGAGGGATGTTTAGGTGAAACACAGTGGGAGGAAGTTAGGTCGTTGTGGGTGTGCCATTAAAGGGAATACGCCTCTATAAACTGACATGGACCCTTTCTCGTTGCTTCCTAGGTGCATACAGTGAATGGCTTTGCTTCACTGACGTAGTACCCACCATGATGGTCAGTGTTACCACAGGCCCCAAAGCAACAGCCAGTTGAAAGCATGAAGCCTGCAAAACCGTAAGCCAAAATAACGTTTCCTTCTAACCTAACCAAGAACTGTCATAGCCACCGAAAAAATAGCTTTCCTTCTAACCTAACCGAGAACTTGTCATAGCCATCAAAAAAATACCTTTCCTTCTAACCTAACCGAGAACTCGTCGTAGCCACCGAAAGCTGACAAACAGAGGGCGATCTCTGTCACCTTCCCTCTGTCGATGCAGTTCTTCTGGTTAACTCAATACTTCCATTTTTTTTTTCAAATCCAAGCTTCTTAACTGTGAGCCACATAACTGAATGCACAGGGTCTTGAAAAACTGGCAGAAGCAGAATGATTCAGAACATAAAATGACCGAACATGAACTATAATGCATCCAGGCTATTTCTGGCAGCATTTGCCCATGTTGCATTTCCACTTTGGTTTTGAACATGACTTGCTCTTTGCAACATGCATGCCATCATAACACCCAGGACAAATGAAAATCCCTAAAACACTGCAGCAAAGATTCAAGATGACTGTATGTTAGTGGTCTTTTACTGTGCATACAAAGTTTTCTCCTCTTACAGAAACTAAATGGCTTATATAGAAATGAAGGAGAATTTTAATACTTCCCTACACTCTTCCTTAGCATATACAAAAACAAATCAGCAAATCTTTGTGTTGTATTGTGTTAGAATTTTTTTTTTAATCTTAAAATTGTTGTTTGAGAGACAGCAAGATGTCTCATAAGAAAACGTTCACACTGACTAATCTGCTGACCTGCATTCTCAGGAAAGGAGAGAACCAATTCCTGCAAGCTGTCTTTTGACCTTTATATTCATGCCACCACACACACACACACACACACACACACACACACACACACACACACACTAAACAAATAGATGTAAAAAATAATAAAAACCTATTGAGTTGCTGACTTAAATTTTATAAAAATTTGTCACATAAAATTTGGTTTGGAATTAGGACAAAATTAACAACAGTTTCTGAGGTAGCACAAAACATCCTTCTGCCATCTTGTAGTGTGTATTTCTGTGAAATTACACGCTTATATGATTTAGTTATGTCCCCTGCACATATACGTGAAGGAATCTAAGTTAGTGTTGTAGTGAGATTCAGAAGAGTAAAGACATAGAGCTAGTTGAGATGCTCATCAAGAGATGAACGCCTAAGGAATAAAGCATTTAGTTGTAAAGAGGAGTGAAATTATTAATGCTCCCCAGTAAAACAGAACAATCGAATTTTGTCTTTAAAATATGGAGACTGCATTTTTAAAGAGACATGAAAGTAGAAGATGGAATACTTGGGAAGAGAAGGGAGGGGCCAGCAAGAAGAGGAAGAGGGTACAAGAGAAGGACCGGGAGTTAAATGTCATCAGTGTAGTGAAACTTAGGATTGAGTACAATTTATGCATATTAATAAAGATGGAGAAGAAAGTGGTGCTCTCAGCACTACAAAATAAAAACCACTGTAGAATCTTTTAAAATAGTATTGCGTCACAGTAGTAATTTACTAAGTTCTTATTTGATATAAAATACTTTGAAATGCTTATGAAGGAAAAGTAAACTAAAAATTAATATGAAGTCATAAGCCCCAGTTAGAACATATTACCAAGACCAATCTTACAGTCAATAAAATATAGTGAATATATATCTTACTTAGCTCTGTTTTCTGTGGTATATAAAACTATTAATCTTAACCTATATTGTATTTATAGCTTTTAAAGAGTGTAAAACTTATTTTAGATTATATTTATATTATATTTTGGGATATAATGAAGACTAGTTTAATTCTGAGTATCACTTTCCTAATCATACATACAAACAATTAACAGAACAAATTCAGAATGTCAAATCAGCCCAACTTAGGGATTTAGCATTTAGTTTTGACTATGTAGAACCAAGTTTTAAGATCCATGACAAGTAGTCACATTTGCTAAAAGCTAGTGAGTTAGAAATAGACAGTTCACAAGTAAATAAGGCTTGTGGTTATAGTCTCCCTCTCAATCCAGCTCTGTTCTTCTTCTGATATGTTCTAAGCTTCACTGCAATTAAAGGCATTTTTATTCAAAACCACAAAAAACTTGCCAATCACAGAACAAAAACCAAAAACAAGATACTTCCAAAAGAATAGAACACTGATTTCTGATATCAGTACAGACTAAAAAAGAGAAAAAGTTAATGTTTATATAAAATAATTAGCAGAGTGGCTAGTGATTATGGAATTGATAATGTTATGAAGAGGCTACTTAAAATTTTACCTGTAGTCTATTAAATATTATGAGAGAATAATATTTTTATGTATTTAGGCATATCCCTTTGGAATGTTCATGCTCAGCAGTTGAGCATGCTGGCTGCTTTTCCAGAGGATCCAGGTTTCATTCCCATCATCCACATGGTGGCTCACAGCCATCTGTAAATCCAGGTCTTGGAGACCCAACACCATTTTCTGGCTCCTGTAGGCAACAAGTATGCAGGTGGTGGGCAAAACACCCATACACATAAAATAATAAAATATTTTTTAAAATCGGCAAATTTCATATTTAATACAATAGGAACAAAGTGATTATGTTTTATGCAGTATATTTAATAATAGAAGCCTAAAGGGATTAAATAAATTTCTATTCTTTTGATAGATCAATGGCAGGTTGGTTTTCTCTTTTAGAGAGAAAAGCTTGCTCTGCAGCCCAAGTTCCTTGGAGAT